TGTTGAATTTTGCTGTTAGTAAAGCATTGTTTTTGTTCACAATATAAAGTACAACAAAATATTAAATATGTGTTTTTAATACGGTGATTTAAAGATGATTGGTCTCTTTACAACATTGGTCTATTTCCAAACAGTGTATGTCTCTTCATTTATTTTTCTGAAATCCCTCAATAGAGTTTTATAATTTCCTTTACATGTTCTATGAGTTTATTTCTAGGTTATTGCATGTGTTTTGCAATTATAAATTGCATTTTTTTTCTCATTTTCTTAGCTGGTTATTTTGGCATAAAGGGATACTATTTTATTTGTTTTTATTTAAATTTATTTATTTTTTTTTGTTTTTTCTTCCATATGTTTATTTTAATTTTTCAATTAGAGTTGACATTCAATATTATTTTATATTAGTTTCAGGTATACAGCATGACGTTTATACCTGATGGTTTGTAATTTAGGATACTATATGTTTTTATATAATAATTTTATGTGGTCATTTTAGTGAATCTCCTTTATTTTCTCTTACATCTTTTCAGTTGAGTCTCACAGTTATTTCATGTGGGCAGATTATCAGTAGTAGTGATGATTTTGCCTTTGTTTCTTCCTCAGTTTACCTTTAACTTGGTTTTCTTAATTGCATTGTTTGGTTCCAGAAAAATATTAATAATGATAAGATTAGATATCTTATTTCTGAACTTTCTAGGAATATTTCTAGTGTTTTATTATTAACCAGATGCTTACATTTGTTACAGTTAGTCTTTGTATGTATCAAGCTAAAGAAGTATCATTTTATTCCTATTCAATTAAAATTTTAAAAAATAAACATTAATGATTGCATAAAAGGTATTTTAGTTTTTATTATGCTAATTGTATATTTTAATTTTTTTACGTTTTAATTTGATGACAGTTACGTTCCCTAATATTCATCCATCCTTTTGGAATTGACCTGCTTTGTCATGCATCCTTCTGCTTAATTCTGTTTCCTAATATTTTTTTCATGTATACTGGTTTTTCAGTGTGTGGTTGTGGTCACATCTTGTATCAGGGTTACATTGGCTTCATAAGAAGAAGCAGAAAACTACTTTTTCCTATTTGCACAGGAATAGTTTAACATTAGAATTATTGGATTCTCGAAGCTTTGAAGAAACCTGTTCATAAAACTGAATCTAGCATATTGGGAGGTCAGAGGTCAGGAATACATTTGGACAGGTGGGGTAGATTATTTTTTTAGTATACTTTGTCCTATCCAAATCTAAGATTAAATAAGTGTATCAGATAGGCTTTTAGATTCCTTGTTTTCAGTGCTTTTGCTAACGTTATTAGATTCTCTGTTTCTGGACCATACGAAAAAAGAGTTAACATAGCAGTATTGAACTTTTACCTTTAGAAAGGGCTGCTTGCAAAGTTGTCCCTTTTCTGGCATCAGGAGATAGATTTTAGAAAGATTCTTGCTATTAATTGATAAGCTCGCTTAAACCGTTTGTATAAACAATTGTGGTTTATGTTCAGTACTGCTTTCATTCTTGGAGACTGGAATTTGGATACACGCCAGACAAGAGCTATCTACATTAACAGCCCCCCTCATTAAACACCATAGGTATTGAGTGTCTAATAAGTTTACTGGTTGGTAACATTTAACACATTTTGTCACATCTTGCTGGGAGGATACATCCAGTGTATCTCCATTGGGAGAGGACCCTTGGAAGCTCTTCTCTGGTTTCTCTCAGACTTTGTTCCATGTGCTTTTTCAAAACCTTTGCTGATTTTGCTTTGTATTCTTTTGCTGTGGTAAATCACAGACATGAGTACAACCATATGCTGTCATGAGAGTCCATTTTATGTGATAGGCCAAAACAGCGATATTAAAAGGCAGTGGCAGAGTTAAAAAACATAACTTAAAAAAATCCCTAATATAACCATGTCATTACAGGTGTAGAAACAATCTCATGGAAGTTAGAAAATTTGTCAAAATCACCTATGTCATTAGTGGCAGAGTAAGTTTTAAAGCTTAAGAAACAAGTCAATAAACAATTTTACTCCATGAACTTAAAATGTTTTTTCCAATTTTATTTATCAAATTAAAATTGGTGTTTTAAAAAATTAAGTTTATTGATGTATGGTTTCTAACACATGCTTTTTTTAATGCAAGTGAGTGGACCCAAACTATCACATTGTAGATAAGCTAGGGCATCCGGTGAAAATATATTTTGCATACAAGCTGTGACATTGGTAACTTTGTTAGCACCATTTGCTTCTTTGCAATACGATTTAAAATGGAATCATATCCTAAACTAATTTTGTCAGCAGATATTTTGTTTATATATGTGTACACCTATGTAAGGGTTGTGAACCTACAACAGAGTCTAAATCAGTGCCTCTTTTCCATGCTGCTCATTAGAATCACATCTCAGACCAATTAAATTAGAATCTCTGATGGGTGGGGCTCAAGCATCTTTTTTTTTTTTTAAGCTTCCCATGTGATTCCAGTGTCTGGCGAGTTCATTGAGAATCACTGGTCTAATTAAAATTCTTTCTATATGCCAATAAAAAATGTGTTTATTTCCATATAAGTGGCTGTTTTGTATACCTATCAATTTTCACTTTATATTTCTAGTTGGAAAAGCATAATTAAAATGTAAATTTAACAAAATGAAATTGTATGTATTAAGTACAGATCTGGAGAACCTATTAAGATGATATTTATATATATATTATTAATGTTTATTATGTATCAATCGAAGAATTATAAATTTGCTTTTGAGTTAACCAAAAATCAGTCATTGTCCATCAAGAACCATTTAGTCAATCATTTGAATCTTACTGATGATGTGGATAAAATTTTAAGAGAATGTTATACCAGAGAATATATTCACTGGGTATAGGCACATCTTGTTTTATTGCACGTCCTTTTATTGAGCCATAAAAATGTTGCATTTTTTACAAATTGAAGGCAAGACCCTCCACCAACCAAAAGATTACTATTTTCTTTATTGCTATACAGCAGTGGTCTGGAACTGAACCCACAATATCTCACAATGGCTGTATATGCATTGCATCGTTTCAGCCAGAGAAAGCATCTGTTTTGTTTAGAGTTATGCATCATCATTGAAATATTAGATAGTGATGTGAGAGAGAGTTTGTGTTGAAGAAGAAAGAGATTTTGAAATCAGGCACGAGTCACTTTCAGAATTTCATGGCTGACATAGGAAGTGACCATGTTATTTTGAACATTGATTGGGTAACCTAGCCAGAAACCAAAACAAAAAACAAAAACAGTCTGATTCTTTATCTAGTCAGTCCTTAATCATATGTTATTAGCAGGGATTAGCAAACTATAGCCTGAGGGTTAAGTCCAACTCTTTTCTATAAATAGTTTTATTGGAATATAGCCATGCTCATTCATTTACTTTTGTCTGTGGCTGCTTTTAGTTGAATAGTATTGTGACAGAGACTGTATAGCCTATAAAGCCTAAAAATATTTTACTATCTGACCCTTTGCAGAGAGTTTGCCAGCTCCTGTGTTAGACTGTTATATCACACATTAGATTATTGATTCACACATGATTTGCTGACACTCCTAAGTTGATCTTCTTAAGTTGAATTTGGTCTTTCATACACAATTGACTGGAGTTGATTCCGTTTTTAGGGCTTTCAAATGGAGATTGCAGTTGAAAGAAAGAGATTTGCCTTGGTAACAAGGAGAGTATGCTGCTAGCCCTCTGACGCTCCTACTCTGTAGGGGGCCAGGAGCTTGTCTCTTTGCCTAACATCCTCCATGTTCCTCTAAATGACAGTCCTTGATGTAACTCCCTCTTTTGGAGGTGGGCATGGAGTAGCAGGTAACTGGAGAACCTGGACCATGAGGAGCTTCCACTGTACTCACTGGGGTAAAGACTATTTTTCACACACTTTGCTAATAATGGATCTGGATGTGAAAGTTGAAAGATTAGGAATGGTTTACCCTTTAATCCTTCCTGGTCCAAATGGAGAGTTCAAGAAGGTGTTGTGGGCTAGTGGAGAGAGCATATCCAGCTCAATTCTCCTAGTCTCTGGTGTAGTGTAGGGTAGCTGGCTCACCTCTGAGGTGTCCACCACATTTCCACCTTGGGCACCTGAATGCTAGTGAAGGCTGGGTTACTTACACCAGAAAAAGCAGTACCTGCAAATATTGTACAGACTTAAGAACATAAACATTTTTAGTTTTCAAAGCACATAATTTCCCTTTTCAAAATGTAAAGATGTTAATCAAGTTTTAGTTCTTTGCTTTTTAGTTACATTTGCAGAAAGGCATTGCATACAAAAGCAAAGAAGTGCTTGTAAATGAGAATAAATGTAATAATGTGGTAAACACCTGCATTGTGATCATCAGAGCTGCAAGTTCGAACTAGAAGTTACAGTCTTGAGAAAAATATTTCGGGTTTTCTTTTTTTGAGCAGGATTAGGATGCTTGCTATAAACTTTCATTAAAAAATGTCAAGTTATTTTGTGAATCTAGAAATTTTATATTTTTTATAAAATACTTAAGATGATTTTAGACCAAAACTTCTGAAATTATTTGAAATGTGATGATTTAGTTTACTCCGTGATTTAGGTCTAGATCTGTGCCCGAATGACTTTTATTCTGGGTATAGTGTACCCTACCTTATTAAATATATCTGTGCTAAAAGAGGAATCTTCTGGTTGTTGACTTTCCTTTTCCTGAGGTACTGAGGAATGAGGGACCTGTATTTGGGCACAGCGATCTAGACTGTGATAGTTCTAAGTGCTGTTAGTGTTTGAAGACCGGGCATTTATTTTTGTTTTCCTAATGTGATAAGGCAGTGAAGGTAGTGGAATTAATGGAAGCAAGCTAAATTGCTTTCCAGAATAAATGGATTAATGATGAAATCTCTCTCATGTGATTTTCTTAAGTACTTTAAATTTTTACTTAGCTATGTTTATGGTATGTGTTTTTCTAAGTATACTTTTCTCCCCCCAATAACTCTCATCCTTTCTTTATATACTAGATCAGCGACTATCATCTATTCCACAAGATGAGTAACAGCCACCCTCTTCGCCCCTTTACTGCAGTGGGGGAAATTGATCATGTGCACATTTTGTCTGAACATATTGGTGCCTTGTTGATTGGGGAAGAATATGGTGACGTCACATTTGTCGTGGAAAAGAAACGTTTTCCTGCCCACAGGGTAATTTTAGCAGCGAGGTGCCAGTATTTTCGGTAAGTCTGTAATATTTTTGAAGATTCAAGTCACTAGTAGGAAACATTGATATTTTCTACTCTATGAAAACTATGTAACAAAGCATAACAATAAATACTAGCAATCCTTCAATTCTACATCTATAAGAATTTTGTCTTTGTAGACTTTTTGTTATGTTTTGAAAATTGCCTTTCTCTTCAGGAGCCATCTTGAGTTAGAGTTATAGAGTTAGAAGGCTCCCCTGCCTAGACTGTACCCAATCAACTAATTTTCAAGACTCTAGAATATTTCTCAGGTTGCATCTTTGTTTCCCTTACTTTCTCCTCACAGTTGATGGCTAATGATTTGTTGGCAGATAGGCTTCTTGCTGTATAGACAGACTGCCCTCTGGACTTGCTAATGAACATGAATAGAATACCTCTTAGTTTCAGACTACTGACATCCAGGATCTATAGATAACCCAGCACATCTGTCTCTAAGACAGGCAGTCTGATAACCCCAAATTAAATAAAACTTAAGTATTTACTGAGACTGTTTCGTACTTATATTAGAAGTAGAACTAAACAAAATATTTATATATTTAATTAATATAAAAATTATATGTAGCTATTGTTTGTTATTCTAACCCTTAATTTCCAGGGTTATAAATATTAAACTGAGCTCTTATTACCCTACATTTTACCTAATGTTAGTTAAAAGAGAGTCATTGCAGAGTGTAATTTATCTTTGATAAATCCATAGAGTCCATATCCATAAAATCATGGATTTGCCTGGGCAACTTAATATCTAAAATCAAGATGCCAGTGGCTTAGAGAAAATTTCAGTTATCTTTTATTGAAAACTGCAGTCAGAATTAATTGACAGCAAAACAGCAACACCTAGAGACACACATTGTAGTAAAGTATGTCTCTTGGAAATATTTAACTATTTAGCTAGAACTCTTGCAGTACTTTATAAACATTTTTAGAACATTCCATCTTGTACATGTAAAATGCCACTGTAGATGAAGCTGGGAGTCTAGAAAATACAGGAGTCTATTAAGAGTTCTACCTGACACTCTCTTTTTCTTCTCAATAATGGTCAGCTCTCCGAAGGCAGCTGACCTTGGTCTGGTCACTATTTGTTACAAGCCTCTGTCCTTGCACACTTTTTCTTTTGTATTTCTTTTCCTTTTCTTACTTTTGGTCCACTCATTACTTTAAAGTGTTTTTTAAGAGTCCATTCTTTCTTATCAGAACTTTTTAGCTTTATGTTTAATATTTGCTAATAGTATATACCTTACCCTCTTTCAAAAATAATTTGAGACAACTGTATGTGGGTACCTTTTAGGGGATCGGTATATTCTTAAACTCAAATACTTTTAGAGATTTGAAGATCACATTGAGTGAATGGAATATACTTCCTTCAGTTATTGACTTTGTTCTTGATGTCTCTTTTTGGCTGTTTTACCTTTAATGTCTGATGGCTCAGTAGGCTAAACTCAAAGTCATTACCAGTGCTATCTTAGATTCTCATTGCTGACACTGTTCATGTGCAAACATAAGTTAACTGGCAGCAGTCAAGAGAGGCCTTGTTGAGTATTGTCACAAAGCTTATCAATTCCCAGATAAAGTTAAACTAACTGTACAGGAGGGAACTTTCTATATGTTGGGGGTTCATATTTAGGGTTCCAAGGAAACCTCATCAAAACCACTTTTAAGGTATTGAGAATCCAGATAAATATCATGGATCACACTGGTGTAGGACTAAGTCTTGGTGAGATATCCCCAGGAAGATGTTCTTTAATCTTGTAATTTTAAAGTTATGATTGGATGCTGTCTGGATTAATGAAAACCTTCAAGAGTGTTTTTAGGCAGAGTATAACCAAGTGAAGAGGTATATTCAGCATGAATATTTTACTGGATGGTTTCAACTATTTTCCTGAGGCAAGCAAGAATGCTGGATCCTGAGGGAGGGTCGGGGGAGTCTTAGGCAAGTATGGAGGGAACTCTTGAAATGCTAGTCCTGCTCTGAGAATGTGAGGCGCAGGAGGGATATCTTTTTGTCCCTTATTCTCCTGCTCTCATTTTTACTTGTTTTCTTTCTCACTCCTTACTATTTCTTTTATGCGTTCCTCCCTTTATTTTCCTCTGTCCACCCTTTCTTCTCTAATAGATTAAAGGTTTAATTGCTTCATATTTCTCACAGAGTAATAGAGGTAGAAATTCAAATTTATTACCTGACTGAATTGTCTGGTTTTTGTTTTTAGATGAGCAGAAAAGCAATAATGTGGGGATTTTTTAAAATCTGACAAATACTAAAAGATAAAAAAAGTCAGCCATCCATAATTCCATTACAGTGTCATTTTTAATTTACAAAATAACAATGAAAGTCCTTTCCTACCAGCTATCTAATCTCATTCCCCAGAGACAACCATTATTAACAGTTTAATATGAATTTCCTGATTTTTCTCAATATAAATAGATATATCTATATATACCTATGTGCATACACATACATATAAGTATGTGCCATACACTTTTCTCCTCAACACATATGGGTCTGCAGCTTACCTACTATATCCTAGACATCTTTCCAAGACAGTATATATTGATCTCCCTTGATCTTTCTAATCACTGCGCAGAATGTTTATATCACAGCTTTTTTAAACCATGTTCCTCCTGATGGACATTTAAATCTTTTCTAGTGTTTCCATTTTTCATTGTATAATCTTATATGTTAATCTTTACCATGTTCTATTATGTCTGTAGAATTGAGTCTTAAAAGTGAGAATACCGAGTTGAAGGGTATGCACATTTTAAATTTGAATAAGATATTACTTAAATTACTTTCCTAAAAGGGGTGCCCATTTACACTCTGAAAGTAGTATATGAGAGCGTTTTTCCATTGCTTTTGCAGCGCTGAATATTAATAGGCTTTTTTTTCTGCCAGTCTAACAGAGAAGAATGACACCTGATTGTGTTTAATTGTTTTTACCTGATTATGTCTTTTCCGATAGAGTTTTACTTTTTAAATTGCCTTATTGGCCTTTAACATGTTTATATTGATTTCATTGTTCCTCTCAAAAGAGCACTTTCATCTTTCTATTTAATGAAATGTCTGTTACATATCTTGAGCTCTCAGAGTATTTCATTAGTCCAGTTGTTTATAGAATTATTTCAACATAGTTTTAAAATTATTTCTCTTTGTTTCTTTAGAGAACTATTTTAAATGATTACTATGCATTTCTTTACCTGAGTCTTTGTGTCACTAAACAACTTTATGTTTGTATAACGTTGATAACTATTATTTCATAATTTTGTAGCAAATCTTATTTGAGGTTTTTCTCACGTGTTTCTTCTCTGACATGCAGAGCATTACTGTATGGTGGAATGCGAGAATCTCAGCCCGAGGCAGAAATCCCTCTCCAAGATACCACTGCAGAAGCATTCACAATGCTACTTAAGTACATCTACACTGGGCGGGCGACACTGACAGATGAGAAGGAGGAGGTGCTGCTGGACTTTTTGAGCCTGGCTCATAAATATGGATTTCCAGAGCTGGAGGATTCTACCTCTGAGTATCTCTGCACCATACTTAACATTCAGAATGTCTGTATGACTTTTGATGTTGCCAGTCTCTACTCACTTCCCAAGTTAACTTGTATGTGCTGCATGTTTATGGACAGAAATGCTCAGGAGGTGCTCTCAAGTGAAGGCTTCCTCTCCCTTTCTAAGGTGTGTCATTGTCTGCAAATAATTTACAGGCATACATTGTTTTGTTTCTATCTGTACAGTAGAAATAAAGTAGTAGACTAAGGATAAAAAATAAAAATCATATGTGTAGAAGAAGTTGTGTGTCTAACCACCTGCCTCTGTAAGAGAGAGGCAGACTGCTTCTGTTTTCTTTTAAAGTTCTTCTAAATTCTGTATGCAAAAGAGACTTTGATGCTGAGTGGTTGTTTTCAATGTGATAACAGCCATATAGGCTCCTTTGTGGTGTTGCATAATAGTTTTTGGTTTATATTTCTTTGACAGAGAGTGCAACGAATAATTCCTTATTACAAGAAGGAAAATTCATAAAGGAGATCAGATGCATCATTGGATGCCTTTAGGTCACTGTTTTGTTTTTGTTTTTTTGCTGACTCAAAATTCACTATAAAAGGATGTTTTTATACTGTGTAATACTTGGAGTGAAACTATTTTGCTCAAATCTTTCTCTGAACCCTGGTAGTTGTCCCTTCTTTCTATGTTTCTCTTAGGGCCTGGATATTTGGAATGTGAATACCTATTTGAAAAGCTATATATCTTTGTGTTTAAACTATAATTTTTATTATCCTACTTTATTTTTAGAGGCAAGGGTCTTTGAGGATTCCACCTATTTTGCTGGATGTCAGTCTGAAAATCTGAAAATCAAAAATATGATGGTGCAGCAATAGTGTGAAACAAAGGATTTTGAAATTTAAATGGCAGATGTATCTTACTTATAAGTGAAAACTCTCCTGAAGAACCTATGTGGAATGATAGCTTCTCGCATTGCCACTTTTCTTCTTGTTTTATTAAAGATGGGTGCAGATGTGTTGGAAAGACTAGATGTTTGATGTAGTGGTACAGGATACCTACAACTATTCACACAGCCATAATGTGCAAGAGAGTATATGGCACAAAGAATACAGAAGATGGTCAAAAAGAGTTAATTGTCTAAATATAACTGATAGTTGCCGTTCTGTAAGATTTTACTGATTGATCCTGCACATGGTTGAGCTCCATAATAACTGGCATTTTTCCTTCTTATCCTTTTCAGACAGCACTTTTAAACATCGTATTAAGAGATTCATTTGCAGCTCCCGAAAAAGATATTTTCCTAGCCTTGTTAAACTGGTGTAAGCACAATTCAAAAGAGAATCATGCTGAAATCATGCAGGCTGTGCGTTTACCTCTGATGAGTCTCACTGAACTTCTGAATGTTGTGAGGCCTTCAGGGCTATTGTCTCCTGATGCTATTCTGGATGCTATTAAAGTTCGATCAGAGAGCCGGGATATGGACCTCAATTATAGAGGCATGCTCAGTAAGTACCTGTTTATCTTAATCTCACCAAGAAGTTTTGTGTGCATCTTATGACAATCTCAGCTAAAAACTATAGTGCAGGTATATATGGTATGTGTGGGTCTAAGAACATACAGCTCTGCTCCCTATGGAACACCTTTTTTCTGTCATTCTTCTGTTAATTTCTCCTGAGAATACATTGCTGTTGTAGACCCCAAAATAGGTATTTCTTGCTATTCCTGTACAGATTTCTCCAGTTGCTCCCTAGAATATCAGAAATAGATATTTTTCTAAAATGCTTCTTTTCATGTAAAGACTTTTTCTCCTTTTCTCCATCAAATCAGTACTAAATACATGCTCTATACTTATTATTATTTTAGGTACCATGAATATGGAGATTCTAAATAATCATAATAGCTAACACTTATGTAGCATTTCCAGCACTTATGTGGTGACTTTTCTTATTAACAAAAACAGTAGCAATTGACAATTAGAAAGTGCTTATATGTTTCAATTACAGTCCTACATGATCATTTAATTCTCATAGCAATCCTTTGAGGATTGGTTCCATTTTACATTGGTTCCATTTTGTTCCATTTTACAAATTGGACACTTGGTTCCATTATTGGTTCTATTTTATAAATGAGGACACTGAAGCACAAAGAGGTTAAGTCACTTACCCAAAGTCACACAGAAAGTTTTGTGGAGCTGAGAGTCAGACCTATGTAGTTAGACTCCAGAGGCTATATAATTAACCACTAAAATATACTGTGTAAGTGCAAAATAGAGTCTCTGCCTTTGAACCTTTTAATTTTATTGTGGAAATCAGACATACCTCCACGAAGGTTGAATACAGCAATGTTCAAAATGGTTTCATGCTGTGAATTTCAGAAGAGGGTATGGCTTGGAATGATTGAAGGAAATTTGATGGAAATTATGGAGTTTGGGGTGAGTCTTGGCATTTGATATAAAAGGCATCAGGGTGGGGTGCATTTCAGATGGGAGGATTGGTAAGGTTGATAGAAGTTAGAACATTTGACCGTGAACAGAAGAGCTTGACTAGAGTAGAAGGCTTATGTTGATTAATGACAAAGAAAGTCTGTAAAGATTAGCTCAGGCAAAATCATGGAAGTCTTTGAAACTATATTGGGATTTTGCATATGTGTAGTGAGAAGCTATTTTAGAGAGGGAGAGGGGCATGAGTGCATGGTAGTTTTGAAAGATTAATCTATGGTGCTGTACTTGATAATTTAGAATAGGGAAACCCTGGATTCGGGGAGACCAGTGAGGAGGGTATTTAATCTGTGCACACTTGATACATACAACCTTAAACTGGAGTGGTAGTAGGGAAAATGGAAAATAATGGATATATAGAGGAGATATTATTTTAAAAAATTAGCTATTGGAGATTTAAATTTGAAGATTACATTTAGGAGGAAGTTGCCTTATTTTATCAAATTTAAGAAACCGGAAATTCTGAGGCACCATTGTTTAACGTACCATTAAGCAAGGAAACAATATTGCCAGTTAAACCATGACACACCATCATGTTTATGTACCAGTTTCAGAAATGTTAAAATTTAAAAAAATGCGTGTCTTAGAATTAATGAAATATAGTAGTTCTTTGAAGAAGATCTTGAGCTTATTTTTAGACTTCCTGAGTTTGAGGGTTTTGGGGGACATCTAAGTTCTAAGTTCTTTCTCAGGTTAGTCATTTTACTGAGCACTCTTTTCCTTGACCATGGCTTTAGACACTCACTTGAAATACTGATTGATCTTAGCCAGGACTTCCTTCCTGACTCATCACATTTAGATTTGTTTGCGTTGAGTTTGAAGAAAAAGCATAGATATTGGAGCCAGACAAATTTGACTTCAAATCCTGAAATAGTCGCTTACTAGTTGTATGATCTGGTATTAAATTACATAAGGAGTTTTACCTTTAGTTTTATATCTACTAGTTATAAGAAATAATTGAAATAATGCATGCAGATAATGTGTGTAATCTCAATATAGGAAACCATTGCTATCATATTATTTGTATGTTCCTCATCTCTGTATGTACATGTAGGAATTATCACATTGTTTTAAAATTGATTGTTTGTCTTTTGTCCTTGAAGGCAGAGATGATCTTTGTAAGGCCAACTGAGCTTTGAATCCTCAACGTTTAACATACTGAAAAGCGTGTAGCAGACACTTGGCGAATGAATGCAAGGAGAAAGTCTAATAAACAATGGAAGCAGATTACTGGTGTTTCAGAAGCAGTCAAAGCTGGTCATAAAAGAGTTGAAACCTGAGTTAGAGTATAGAGAAAGAAGTAAAGATCAGAGTCTGTGATTAAGAGAAGACCTATAGCCAGGAGACTGAAGACAGCGAAGGAAGAATTGGAGAGGTAGGAAGAAAACTGGAGTAGGATTACAGAAGCCAATAGAGGAGAGAGTTTTTACATGAGGAGGTGAGTGGTATCTAGTGATGCTGGGAGGTCGATAAGAATGAGAATTGAGGGAAAACTTTGGATATAAATTTGTGGTGAGTTGGTGAGTCTGGACAGGAGCTTGGATAAATAGGGAATTAGGCCGTGGGTTTGAAAAGAGAATACAATGTGTTGGTCATCCGCTGTGTGAATTGGAATGCAAGGTAGTAGAGAAATAGTATGGTTAGATAGAACAGGTCTAGAGAAGTGTTGGAAAGGATTGGAGTTGCTAGAGAATGGTACTAGTTGAGAGTCATTCAGCTTTGGATAAAGTGTAGGAGAATGGAAGGGGGAGAGGTAGGTAGCAAGACAAGTAGTACAGTTTTAGGCTTTCTAAATCTTTATTGTTGGACTCTCTTATATAAGCTTCTTTTTTCTTCTTTTTGCCTGAGTTTTGATTTGAAGTGTTGGTAGAGCCCCATAACTGGATTCCTTGTAGAGCTAGGCTTGGAACATTGCTGTAGGATTATGGAGGTGCTTTGGACATTTCACATAGTTACTGGTAGCTTGGAATTGATCACATGCTCAGTATAGGTGACAAAACTGGGTTATAATAAACCCATGAAATTACTGTGAAAAGGAATAATCAACCAGTTGAAGCACACTCAGTTCTGGAATGACATACTTACTATATTATTGCTCATAAATGTTAAATTTTTCATTTTGGAATAATTCAGTGGGAGCTAAAGGAAAAGATTATACAGATATTTGGGAATCTTTTATCTAACTTCTAAACTTGAGAAATTATTATATAGGCTATTTTTCTGACTTTTTAATTATATGAATAGTAAAATCAATAATATAAATACAAAGGAAGCATATCACTTTTCCATCAGGTCCTAAAAATAGATTAGTTATTTTCAAAGTAAATATTATCCAAACATTTATATCATTATTTCTTTCATCAAATTTCTTTATTGTTAAGGAAAAAGAGGTCTAAAATTTCAGAACTGTTCCTGGGCTGAAGATCTGGAAAGATAGTTCTGCTTATTTCAAAATTATGGAACAAGTTTGTTTGTTTCTCTCTTCTTCCCTGGGTATGGGCTCTTTGTCTTTGGGGATTTTTCATGAAATGTAGAGAGGTTCTTATCTTGGGACTAGAGATTAGTATATTTTTTTCTAATTACTTTTCTTCGAGTTTATCGGTATTAGTTACCAGATGATTTAACTCTTAGGGCTGCATATCCCAAGGCTTTTTACCAAATTATAATGATTTCCACCCCCACTTAAAAAAATAAAAATAGGACCCAAAAGATGTTTTAACGTACCAGTGATGGTTAGTTTTTCTGGGAAGGTGGCTTAGACTAGTTTTGTGCATATATAATGATGAGCATTTGTTTATAAACCTGGGAAAAGGGAGTTACCTTTTAATGATATTGGTTTTTTTCCTCCTTAGGGTATTTGAGCTACTTGTAGTCAAGCCACTGCCTTAATGTTTTATTTTGCCTTAGCTGTAGAAAGATTTATTTCTGTCTTGAAAGTTAGTGCTTTTTCTGTTCAGGCTGAGTTATACTTTGTTTTGTTTAAATCAGGTTTTAGACTTTGAGAAAGAGAATAGCAATTTCTTGTTTCTTCATGTTTATAGCAAGGTTTATATCATAACTTCCATCCTCAAGATTTCCTTATTGTATAAAAGTCAGTCTGTTCAGATTCATGGACATGGACAATAGACTAATGGTTACCAGAGATTAGAAGAGAGGGAGAGGGGGGATGTAGATGGGGTAAAAGGAGTCAAATATGTGGTGACAGAAAGAAATCTAACTATGGGAGGTAAACACACAATGTAAATATATATATCCCCTACTGTTAAAATGCACAGCTGAAAATTACTGGATTTCGTTAACCAATGTCACCATAAAAATTAATTAATTAATTAAAAAGAATTGAATGCTATTCAAGTGTATGTAAAAAAAAAGTCAGTCTATTCATAGGACTGCCAAGTTAAGTTATTGATTAATAAGTGTGTATATGTAGTAGTGTGTGTATGTTTAAATTTGTGCTGTAAATATATAGTAACATGTACCTATTCCCAAAGTTTTCAGTAACTCAGACCAAGGGAGCTTGACACTGTGATATAATTGTTGCCTTTTTTGCCTAGACTCCTACTACACTGAACTCGAGGGCTGTAATTATGTCTTTTCACTTGTGTTTTTCCAGCACCTACTGCAGTGTCTGAATATAGACTTTTTAAAATAAGTGAGTGACTGAATGAATCCATCTTTTGCTTCTACCTAGAATTTAAAATTTGTCTCATCTATCATATAAAGACAGTAATGACAACAGTTAGACTTTAATACTTTTAAAACTCTGAGTTCCATTGCTCGAGTATCTTCTCAACTATAGTTTGTAGTATCTTCATCTGTAAATTGGGGAGGGGTTCACAAGTAATTTCTACTGAGTATTTCTCTGAGGAGACAGTTCGTGTCTGATATGAACTCTTGTCTCCATTAGACGATGAGCTGCTGGAGGGCTGAATCCAGCAGTGACCGGCACGTAGAAGGCAGTTTGGGAATTTTTTTTTCCCCTTAAAATAAATAGGATGAAAGTCCTTTTCAGCCCTTATGTGTTTTTATTCTTTGATCTTTATAAATAACTTGCCTAAAGTTGCTGAGGAAAATTGATGCCCATGCTGGACCAAAGTGCTAATCTGACTCACAAGGCCAGTGACCTTTGATAGTCTCCAGCCTTATTTTCTATTTCTATTATGTGGTATGTTTGAGTACCAGTACTGTCCAGTGTGGAAAGGAGGCTTGCAGAGAGTGGAGATAACAGGGAAAGTTAAGGTAAAACAAGAGTTGTCAAGAAAGTCATGTGTTGGAAGTGAGGATCCATACATTCTTCAGGGAAGTCAGGTTGAGTAGAAGATGATGTAGGGGACAGAGCTGGGTAAAGCGACTGCAGTGGACAGAGAGTTAAGTGTGAATCCAAATGATCCATGAGGGGTGAACAACCATCTCAGCCTAGATGTAATAGAGAATTCAGTAAAGAATGATTAAGAACATAAAGCAATTAAAGAAAAACACAAGATAATTAACCCAGGTTCACTCAGATTTTGGCATTGTGTAGCTAGGGTCAGGTCCTACTCCATTTCTCGTTAGATTTTTTCCCCCCTTAATAATTGTCTTGGTTCTGCCTAGCTGTAGAACTTCACAGCTTAATTTTTTCCCTTAATGCATCAAAAATGATAAATGTAAATAAAACTGTTGTTATCTACTATCTCATTTAATCTCTACCGCCTTATATTTTTTTGAGAGCTCTTTTCTCTACTGATAGACAAATATAATCAGTAAGAATATTGATGGTTCGAATTATTTTATTATGACTTGAATTTTCTCATGGTCATGTTTTGTCTTAAATTAATCATTTAACTATAGATTTTGCAAAAAATACTCAGAGTTACATTTTTATCCTATGAGGTACTCAGATTATAGTTACCACGAGAGAATTCCACTTGTGTAAATGTTCCCATTTTGAAGTGAAAGATTCTTTCAGGGAATTTATATCAAGCACAGTTAGAAAAGTTCTCAAGTGCTCTTGAAATAAACTTAAAAAGATGACTTAGACTTGCAGTAGAAATTTCCATTTTAGACTTTTAGTTACAGTCACTTGAAACTCTTGAGCCTGGTGTGTTATTCCTAGCTCAATAAACTTTAGAGGTGAAGAAGCTCATGTTTAGAGAAAATTCAATGGCAGCGGCAGTTTCTGAATCTGAGAGTTCAAGTCCCCCCTTTTGTGTCCTGCTTGGCCTCGACTAGTGGTGTCAGAACTGAAGAAGATGGTTCTAGTGGTCAGCAGCAATAGACTTTGAACCCCCATGTCTCATTCCCAGCAATAAGGTATTTATGTTTCTTTTTACCAAATAGTTACACATCATTGATATCTGAAAAGCACAAATTTGAAGCTTTTGTTTGTTTGCTTGCTTTATAAATTGCTTCATCTCTAGATTGACGGCATCAGGAGGACAGGGTCTGTCTGTCTAGTTCACTGAGGTAGTCCCAGTGCCTCACTTGGTACCTGGTACAGAATGAGTCCTTAGTAAATGTTTTTTGACTGATAGAATGCTTTATACTTATACAATATTTTAGCATATATTATTTGTGGTATAATTTTTACAGTAATTTTATGAGTGGGTTGGATAAAGTATTATTTTTAGATGAGAAAACAGATTGAGAGAGACTAAGAAGCCTTACTTGGGTAGTAGGTGGTAGAACCTGAGTCTCAAACTTAGGATTTTTTGCTTTAAGTCCAACTATTATTTTTAAAAAATACATCAGACTGTTTATTTCCTCTGAGTCTTAGTTCATCTTAGAGGGAAGGGGTGAGAAAGAGGGGGAAACTATGTTCTTCCCATCAGAAACTATTCATGAGAAAGGTAGTAGAGTACAGCCACTGGAGACAGACTGCCTGGGTTCTAATTGCAGCTCTGATACTTGCTGGCTGTGTGACCTTGGGCAAGGAAGTCCATTCAACCTTTCTCTGCCTCCCTTCCCCGATCTGCGAAATGGACACAGTAGTAGTAGTATTACACTCAAAGGATTTTTATGAGGAATAAGTTAAAGGAATTAATAAGGTTTGCTAAATAAATGAAAAATAAGAAGAATATGTATGATTACCATGAGCTAATAGAACTTAGGAAGTTATAGCACTTAAGCTTCTTGTGGTAAGAAGTTGAGCATGACTAGATTTTGTTTTATTTTGCTTCTGAGTTGCCTTAGTTTTTTGCAAGTTAACTAACCCACTCTAACTGTATTTCAGTTGCAATTATTGTTGTCTTCCAGAGCCATTCTCTTACCTGTCTTCATTTGAAATTTTTTTTAAAACCTCACATTTTCCAAGAAATTTGCAATTACGAATTACTTACCCCCTTTCCCTAAGAGCCTAATTATAGCTCATACTTTCCCCTATTCAGATCACATAGCCCAGATGTATATTTACTGTGAGAATTCAGTATTTATTTACAGCATGTAAACTTGCTTAGTTCTCTTATTGTTGTGTGCTTTAAAAATATATAATTAATAATAATAATGGCAGTCTTTTTTTTAGAGCTTACTATGTGTTTTACAAACATCTTACTTGATCCTTAAAACAACAACTAAACAAACAAACAAACAAAAACAACTGGGGGATAAATATTGCCCTATTGAGAAATTTAAATTCAAAGAAGGTAACTGCCCCAAAGTGATACAGTTGGTTAAAGGTGAAGCCACTATTTAAACTTTGACTTTGAAGCTCAAGCTCTTAACGTCTATTTTATGCTGCCTCTGGTCTCTCCATGGAGAGTGTTGGTTTTAAAATGTTAATACCTGGAGGTCGGGTTCCAGATCAGTGAAACAAAATTTTCCTGGAGGATTTCAGAGTCCCATAAACAATTGACACTTAGTAAATCTACCTTTTGGGAGGGAAGGGTTTTTACTTATAACCATAATATTGATTTTGGTGACAGACTGTCTGAATTTTCACTTTTAAAAGTAAAGTAAAAATATATCTTCTTTTAAACATATTTTTGTTTTTTAGCTATATTAATTGATTTAGTGCATTCATGTATGACCAATAGCTGTGCTATACTGGAACCTTTCCTTTTCTGTTGTTTTATCAGATGTCTGACCTGTCTGCTTTGCTATTATATGTTGTGCTCAATCCATTTGGCAGGTATAGGTAATCTTATGTGTTATTTTTGTCTAGTAGATATAAAATTAAAGCTACTAATAGAAGGACCTCAGCAGAGCTGATTTGTTTGCTCTAGTACTTTTTTTTTTAGTATAATCAACTTTTTCTTAATAACATTAGTCCTCAAGCACTTTGTGGCAGTGATAGTGTCATTAAATTTAAACTTTGGGTGGTATCTTAATCCTTATAGATATTTCATATCTTCTCTATCCATAGACTTGTCTATGCTATTTTTAGATACATACTAGAATCAACTAGAATTTTATCTTATTCCCCCAAACAGAATAATTTAATAAGTAACTATTAACCTTGCTTTTTTTATTTTTAACTGTAGTACCAGAAGAAAACATTGCAACTATGAAGTATGGAGCCCAGGTTGTAAAAGGGGAGCTGAAATCTGCCTTACTAGATGGTGATACTCAAAATTATGATTTGGATCATGGATTTTCTAGGCATCCAATTGATGATGACTGCCGTTCTGGCATCGAGATTAAGCTAGGTCAGCCATCCATTATCAACCACATACGGATACTCCTGTGGGACCGGGATAGCCGGTGAGTCATTAGCATGAATTAGAGACAAACTGATAATGTGTTTGATTGAGATGGCCTAAGTTTGTGATTATTTACTTTGGTTTTACAGATTTGATGGTTTATTTCTTTGTTGTGACTTGGCTATTTCTCTTGAATTTTAGCTCTGGGAGAAGAGTTAAAAGGTATATTCCTTTTAAAAAATAGCATTTTTTTTTTTTTTTTTTTTTACTTTTTCTCCTTATAAAAGTAATGAATACATGTTTATTTTGGAAAGTGTAGAAAATATAGAAAAGCACAAAGAAATAAAAATTGCTGGTTATCTCACCACCCTGTATTCATTTTTGTATCTATCTAACCATTGCTTTTTCTTATGCATAGTCTCTCTCTCTCTCTCTCCCTTCCTCCCCCCCCCACACACACCCCAAAACAGAAACTTGTAAAATCATGCATAGTTTTATGAAATAAAAATTAGATGTGTAAAAAGATAACTTGACTTTTTAGTTAATACATTGCGAATTATCCTACCCTTTAAAAAATATTCCTCTGTACCGTTACTTTTTGGATATTATAATAACTTTCAAAATGCATTTTATTTTATGGAAGAAGAAAAAGATGTTTTTTAGTGTGTGGATAAATATCATCCTCAACACAAAAGAAATTTTTGAAAAAAATTTGATTGGCTCCAGCCTAGGAATCCACCCAGTTTTACAGTAGCTTTAAGATTCTGCCTGCCTTCCTGATACTTTCACTCACTGTGGTTCTAGGGTTCAGCCATGACCGCTGAAGTACCAGAGCATTAAGGGTGACCAAGAACTGAACTGTCTCTCACATTGCTGCTTTATCATTAACCTAAACCCTCCATACCAGAAAACTGATGTACAAAGTCTCTTAGGGCCCTACTAATGTCTCTTCGAATCTGAGCATGAAAGCCTTAATAGTAGTAGTGATGATATACTGAAAATCTTGCATGTTTATTTCTCTTGTTAGCACTACGGGCCACCACTCTGACCTTTTAGGCCATTTGAGCCAAATATGAGGGAAACTTTATGAAGTGGGAGTCAGCATTTCCTGTGCATAGGTCTTTGAGGTCCCCAGGTTATCTGTTTCTTTTTTTATTAAGAATGTATTGTCTGATACATATCTTGTTGGATATAATATAATAATGTGTTGGCAAAATGGAGCTAATTCACATATTCTAAGAATCTGATTAATAATAATGTAATAATACTTACATAGCACTTTCATTACTTTTATGTGGTATGCACTGTTCTAAAATCTTTACATATATTCACTCATTTAATTAATAATTAGTATAAAAATAATAAAAGAAAAGGTTAGTAAGTTTGAAATTGAAAGTAGTTATCTTCTTTTCCATGATGTTAAATATTTATAGGCCACTTTGTTTTAGTATGTGTGTTACATTCACAGGGGACTTAAGTTTACCACATAGTGGTTCTTTTCTCCCAGAAGTTATCATTTTGAACGAAGGTGAAAAATTCAGAATCTTAAGCCAAAAAGATTTTGATATATGTTGTAAAATTATATCCTGCATCACTGATAACCAAGAGAGAGGTTCAATAAAAGGTTATAACCAGTTCGAGATTGAGTAATAAAATGAATGGGAGTGAGAGGACAGCAGAAAATGAGGGGATGACACAAAATAAGCCGACCTTTTCTGGTCATAACTGTTGGTTGCAGGCTGACATTTATGGTCACCTAAATCTTCTGAGATTGTTTCTGTTGATATTACAGTACAAATAATAACTGCATCTCAAATTTAAATTTGTCTTGTGACAGGGGAATATAGATTTGTTCTGTATGGGACCAGCATGTAATGGTCCAGAGTACCTGACTAGGGGAGGATGATAGGCTGTTTTTCTTATCACTAGATTATTAACTAGAAAATTTTAAGTTGAACCCAAAAGAAACACGTATTATCCCTTCACCATGTCATTTATTTTTCTGCAGGCTGCATGTATGTGTGGGATGGTAGGAGACTGGGAGGGAGTGGGAGAAAAGCTGGCCTCTGTGGGGAACCATTTGAGTTGGCTTTCCTCTTGAGAGTGTAGGGCTGAGCTCCCAGGGCAGGGAAGGCAGAGAGAGAAGGCATACCTACTTCTATTTTCTGTCTTCTTTTTGTCATGGCTTTATTAATCTGCTAATATGGTATGAGTAAGGCATCCTGGCCCTGTGTGAAAAGGAACAAACATCTTGCATGCCTCATATATGCCAAGCACCATGCTAGACCCTGGATATATGGAGGCAAATATGGCGTGGGTTTTGTTCTTAAGCAGCTTGTGATCTAATAAGGCAGACAGACAGACATGCTGACAGAGAATTTCAGTACATTTTGGTGAATGCTACAGTAGAGGGATCATCTGAATTTGATTGTTTTGCAGAAAATGTAATTCTTGCATAGTGTATTTTTTGTACCTTTTAACATTTCATTGAAGTATGACTTTGTATTATTATTATATGTGTTTTTCTGCCTTTTTCCTTTTGATTCATAGGTCTTATTCATATTTCATTGAAGTGTCGATGGATGAACTTGATTGGATCAGAGTGATTGATCATTCACAATATCTATGTCGTTCTTGGCAAAAGTTATATTTTCCAGCCCGTGTCTGCAGGTTAGTTCTCATGGCTAATAAATAATTTTGATATTTTTAAAAGAGATTTGGATTTTGAGAAACGGACTACACTTTTCTGTCTGCAGAATTTTCTGGAATATCAGCTACCAAACACATGCCCAGCTAAAAACTTAGGGAAACTATGAAAAATTAAGCATCTGACATGTATAGGAATAAGAAGGGATGGGGAACACTTAGAAGTGGAAATGCTTTTTTAACTGCATGCTGTGCCTTGAAAGCATTGTTACTGTTAGGGATTGCATTCTTCCCACAGAAGCCATGAGAGATATTTCTGGAGTCTTCCCTAGCAGTCCTTAGGGCCAGGAGGAGATTTTTGGATGCCATTGTGCATGTTCTGAGTATCTGTGTTTTATTTCTAGGTCAGTGGATATCAATAGAATTTGACAGAGCAAGTATTTCCAGTGGGGTTGGGTTTAGGACAAGGGAGGCTGAGCTGGTGGGGCTCAAGGCTCATACCTTCCATTCAATCAGAGCATCTTAGCTTTTACTGTTGTTATGTATTGCAGCCCCATGCTAGTTTGTTCTTAAAAAGTACTGTAAGCTACTCTTCTAATATTTCATATTTTCCTTTAGATATAAGCCATCTTTTAAACTGTGTTTCTGAAATTCTGCAAAACCTAGAATGAACTTGGGAGTTGGGAAAGGTGGTTAAAGGCCCCCCAAATTCTGTTGTGTTTTTTCTGTTGTAATTTTCCCCTTGGAAATTACCTTTAGATATTCTTTACCTTAGAGTCAAGGGATCAAAGGCAGAGAGTGACTGGTTTGTTTAGTTAAGTGTGGCAAGAAGAGAAGGGAAGGCATATGATAGGTATAAACCAGGGAGAGTGTGGAGGTGGCCCCTTACCCAGTCCCCGCCCCACCCTCACCTGTGACTTTGACTGACCTCCCATTGTAGCTGATTTGAAGCAGATGGGGTACCCCACAGCACTACTCTCTTGGTCAGAAGACACCCTTATACTTATTAAACTCATGATCTGTCAGCATCGGGCTAAATTCTTACTTCCTCCACAGGAACTCCACAAAACCTTTCAGCCTCTGGTACCATAAAGAATGTTGCCTACCTTTTTTTTTTAGTATGGTTATGACCAGATACAATATCATTACCCAAGGATCCTTTTGTGTGAAAATGAAGAAAATCAATTTCATTTCCCCAAAGAGAACTAAAGTGTCTCAGGTCTGGTGGTTGCTCTTTTATCAGAAAAGTTTTGAATGGATTAAATTGAGAGGGACAAGAAATTGAGTGAAGATTCTGTATCTCAGTGCTGCGTATGGATACTTTGAGAGTGACAGAGTGAAGGTGATTGAGTCTGCATCAACTCAGGTATTACTGTTGTATTGGATTAAAAATTAAGCAGTGTAACAACCAAAGCATCTGATATGGACTGAAGGGCTGTGTGTTTGTATTTCATTTGGAACAATAGGAACATGACTCCCAAAACAAATCATCGTGAATATAATACCAGCCATAATGCAGTCTTTACCCACTTTAAAATTCCCATTTTGTGGAGGGAGACATATGCCTGCAATTATGGTCTCTGGCTTTTAGAAAATATACTTACCCTTATTTATTAATGAGCATTGTATATACTCCCTTTTCTTTATTTTGTCTTTCCTGTGTGGCCTTGGCTTTGTTGGTGTAGCTTTTATGTATTGTAAAGGCTGGCTGTATTCATGATGCTAGTTTTTGTCTTGGTAGAGCCAGCTCCTAGCTCTGGTCAAGAAAAATTGAGAGAGGATGGTATTAGAGATAGTGATAACAAGAAAAGGAAAGGGTCTTGATACTCTTATTAGCAAAAAAAAAATTTTTTAACTTATAACCACTTTAACATGTTATATTAATTACTACATTCCTTCATAAATTCTGCCTTTTGTAATAAATAGGTTGGAGTTTTGGTAGTATTTTAAAATGAACCTAAGAATAAGTCCTTGTTGATTATCCAAAGATGTCTTATTCTTGGTTTTTCTTATCTTTACAATCATTTATTGACTGCCTAAACAATGTTCTCAATACACCTCTTCCAGGAACTTCACAGGGCACAAAAAAATTCTTTATTTTCTTAACACATAAGCGTCCAGTTTGCACTGTGTTAGTTAATGTGTACATTTGTATGTCACCTTTGTTCTTCAGTGTCCTTCGCGTGTTTGTCTTGCTTCTGATATTAAAATTACAAGCCCTTGGAAGAAAGGAGTATAGATTCTCATCTTTTAATATTCTTGTACAGTACTCAGGCTATTATCTCATATGGGTATATACTCCATAAATATTACCAGAGGTGTCTTAGGGTGGGGTTCATGGCACTGATTAAGTAATGGAGATTGAGTCAACATTGATATGTATATATATTCATTGTTACTTTTTATCCATGTATTGGTTAAAATGTATATCAGTACTAGAAAACTCTCTGGAATGGTAAATGGTTTTGAATTGTTTGCAAAGGTTACTTTCCGTTTTTTTTTGTTTTTTTTTTTTCCTTCAGGACACTGAATTTTGAGATTAATCCTGAAGGATGTGTCATGTATTGATGAAAGATTACATCAAATATATTGACAAAAGAAGAGATTCTTTGTGATTTGGGGTGTGAGGTTACCCAGCCCTCCCTCTGAGTCTAGGCTGGACTACATGTAAAGCATCACTGTGTAGTAGGAAAACCATGGGCTTTTGAGTTAGATAGAGCGCTTCTCAAATCTTGGTTTCATCTAATACTGGCATCGTGATCTTAACAAATTGGTACCTCTCCAAGCCCTTGTTTTTATACCAGTTAAAAACAGGAATAACAACACCCTTCATGCAGTCTGCTGTAGAGGTTTAGATGGCATAGCACATATACAAGTACTGAGCACTTTGCCTGGCCCAAAGTAGGCTCAGTAAATAGCTGTTTTTATTTTTGTTATTTTTATTATTAAAATTTTTTTAATTATTATTTTTTTAACTTCTGAGACTCTCAACTGGTGTTTGACTTTTAGAGAAAAAGAGTCATCTCTGCCATCCTCTTTGGCCATGATGGCTCTAATGAGGAAATTGTTCCTTACCTCGGGAGCCTAGTCTTTTCAGCACATTTCCGTATCGTCAATCCATATATAGCAATTCAAAACATACATTAAACAGATCTCTTTATTTTAATAAGCTGCCTATTTGTGTGTCTGTATGTTTTGTGTATTTCCATCCGTTTTCAGATATTTTAGTTTTGGAAAGCATTTATTGTGATAAAACATATATAAGATAAAATTTTCCATTCATACATCTTGTGGAATGTAATTCAGTCAGCATTTCACCTCACCAAAGGTAGTAGATGTTATCTAGTGGCAATAAGGATAACGTAAAACTTCAAAGCCGGAGTGATCGTTCTAACCATAACAGTGAATCGAGGGAAATGATCTGCTCTGTCTTTCTGGGTCTTTTTAAGGAGTGTGTTGTGGATTAAGTGGGGACTGCTCTATGTAGCCAAAAGCTTAAACTAATATCCTTTCCCCAACCCCACAACTGGGGATGAAGAAAAAAAGCAACTTGTCAATTTTGGCACAGTCTTTCATATGCACTCAGAACCATGTTGTCTTATCAGCTTTCTCTTTCTCAGGAAAAGGCAATTTCTGCTTTACCCATAAATTCTCTAACCTTCAAATTGTTTTCTTGGCTATCTAGTAAGCTCTCATCAAGTCCTTCCATAGCTTCCTTAGATGGTAGAGACTAGGACTGAACAAAGAACACTGATAAAAAATGGCAAATATTGAGTGCCCTGGGGGTTTTAAAATTTTTTTTCTGGCTGTTTCTCAACATGGTGCTGGTAATTTGACAGTCATATAATGTTGCTGAAACATGAGAAGACTTGAAAACATGATTTGAAGGGTAGAGGTAGATTTCAGAGCCTGTAATGTGGCTGGTAGCTGGAATTGCAAAAGTGATCTTGGTGCAAAATCTGGGAGTTGAGGGAGAGGAATAGCAGACCTAAAAGCAAAGTCCTTGAGGATATACCTATTGAGACAGAGAAGAAAAGCATATAGATGGTAGACATGTTTACTCCAGGGGCTGTTAGGGAGATTAGAGGAGAATCAGGAGGGTTCAATTTACAGAAGACAAGGCCCGAAAGGATGTTGAGAAGAGTGCAGTTTGACAATTTAGAACATAGCGTAGGAGGGATAAACTCAGTTAACACAATGTTGGGCTTATTTTTTTTTCTTTTGTTTTTAATTATCAAAATAGAAATGTCTTTTTATGATGTTTTTATTATAAAATTGTAGTATAGTACATATTTTAAATATTGATAATGCTTGCTCTCTGGTGAGGTTGTACCCAGTTTCTACCAGTTGCACGTAAAAATACTCCTTCTCCAAACCCTCACCAATACAGGCATTATCAACATTTTGCCAGTGTAATTTATGATTTGTAAAAAACGTCTTATTTTAATTTGGATTTCTTTTATCATCAGAGAGATACTGTATCTTTTAATACTCGCCATTTGTTACTTGTCATTTATGAAAACCTGTTTTTGACTTCTGCATATTTTTCTCCTGGGTTGATTATCTTTTTTCTTTTTGGCTTGTGAGAACTTTATATTGGTATATTGGTATGTATATATTGATCATATATATGTCATATTTGTGTACATATGTACATATAGTAGATATATATATGTATATGTGTGTGACATTACTCTTTTGCCTGTCATGTATTGAACAATTTGTCACTAGTTTTTCATGTTTTGTTGGTACTTTTTGCCATATAGAATTTTACTTTTTAAAAAATGTAGTCAAATCTGTCAGTCTTTTTTTTTTCTGTCAGTCTTTTTTTATTATTTCTGGCAGTCTAGTATGTTTAGAAAAGTGTTCCTCACCTTTAAAGAATTAATGTTATATTTTAACAATTTTTTCTACTAGTTATTATTTTTATATCTAAATATTTAATCCATCTAGAATACTTTTTGTTTATATTTTCAGGTAAGGATAGTCAGTTGACTAAGACCTATTATTTAATAATTATTCCTTACCCTACTAATGTGAATGGCCATATTTATCATGTACTGAATTCTAGCATGTACCGTACTCTGTTCCACTGATTTCTTTGACTATTGCCCAAAGTGTTTTAATTATCGTAGTTACCTTTCCTTCTCTTTCTTCTTTTTATAGAATAAGAAATTATCATGTGGCAAATGTGTCATGGAAAAAAGAAAGGGTGTTATAGAGCATCTGCCCACCTGTCTTCTGGTCTCAGTGGTCACATTAGAGGCTATAAATGATGATAAACATTTCACTAGAATAGTTCTACTTTCACTTACAAGAAAAAATTTAGGCATTCTTCACCAGCTAAGGAAGTAGATTTTTTCCTCACTTACTCATCTGTTTCTTCATTCATCACTCCTCATTCCACCGATAAGCTTCTAGTTTGTGCTATGCGTTATTCTTGATGCTGAGGCCATGACACTGAAGAAGACTGCCAAGATTTGTGCTCTCATAAAATATGGGAGAACAAATATACACAAATAGTAAGAGCACATCAGGTAATTATAGATGTTGTGAAGATGGTACTGTGATGGAGACCAGAGTCAATAGGTTTTAAATAGGTGCTCAGGGAAGCCCCGAGAAGGGAGGTGGTTGTTTTAAGCTGGGATGAAGGGAAATATTCTCTGGCCATTGTTTTAGATATTTATGCTTTCTTTGGTGTATATTTAATGTTGTTCAGGAGTATCTGCTCTACTATAGGAGACCTTATTAGATGAATACTAAAACTGTACTGTTCTTTTGGTATAGGGCACTTTCATTTCTTTTATTGCTACCATACATTCCAGGTTTCCCCTCATTCTTGCCATCATTAGATGCAACTTAATTTTTTAACTCATCTTCATTAGATTATAGTACCTGCACAATAGTATGAATCTATAAGACATAAAATAAGTGAGAAAATAAAATTGCTATTTATGGCAGCATTCTTTTTCTACCGTATTAACATTGTAAAAAAGCATGTGTGTCTTCTTTCTTTTCTTTTTTGTTCCTCCCTTGTTCCCATAATTGGGCATTGATATATTTATTTACTTTTAAAGGTAGGCACTTTCACATTACTCAGAGGTTCACCAGGATGCTTTAGAATCATAGCTAGAATTATTAGCTATAATCATAGCTAGAATTATTAGCTATAGCTAGAATTGAGCCTTTATATTATTGACATCTTCAGGATTCAAGAAATGCCTTTATCAGATGTAAATAAAAAAGGAATAGTTTAAATTTTAATTTTATAAAGTAATCATTTTAGTTTATACTTAGTTCGAATTGTACCTCTATCTACAGCTTTGATTTCATACTTGAACTAGTAGAGCAATCCTGCAGAGAAACATTTTTTCTATGAATGCAAAGCAAAATGTAACCACATGGTGTCACTATATCATTACAGTTTTACTTGGAGTCAAAGAGGTTGAAATTGCTTTTTTTATAAAATTGTATTTAAATATAAATTGTTCTGAAGTCTGATTTGTGAAATAGCATGTGAAACTATTTGTACTATTTAAGCCTTTCTACTCATGTGGGCATTAATTATGCCCGAAGTCCATAGAAGTACATTCAGGTGCTAGCCAGCTCTTGAATTGTCATCTGCAAAGTCCAGCAGATATGTGGGTTTCTGTAGTACAGTTATTCAGTTTTATACTAAGTTTTTTAAAATCTTCCTTTGGAATTTTTAAATAAATTCGAAGAGTAACTGAAAGGAGATAGATCTATTAAATATTTATAAGGAATTAGAAAACAAAAAAAAAGGAGGAATGAGGAAAAGAGAAGGTTATAGGACCTCAATGAAGAGACAGGAAGAGAACAGTAACATTTGTTTAGCATCTCCTGTGGGTCAGACACATATTGTTACCTTATATGATTCTCACAATTGCTCTATGAGAGAAATACTACTAACTACCTTATTTTTTACAAATGAGGAAATTAGGCCTTAAAGAAGCTAAATTTGCAGGTCTGTCTTAATACATAGTGAGCCTCACAGTCTTACATTGCTTCTGCAGGAAATGAAGTAAAGAAATAGCTCTGCTTTAGAGTAGGAGACATGGAGCCCTGAAGAATCTTTCATTGCCTCTTTGGCTAGAGCAGTTTCCAGGAATGCTGAGAGGGCCTGGTGTGGCCAAACTCTGGTCACAGCACCCAGACGACAAGGATACTAATGCTGAGGATGATGATGAACAATTGGGGAAGTTTTTCTCTTCCAAAGGAAGTGTAGCAATCCTTTATCTAGGTCTGTTTTGTCAGTTTGTCAATAAAGCTTTGAATTTTTCTGTCCCTTAGTTCTCCCTAAGATCATTTTAGATTTTATCATTACAGTGAACCTGATGTTCTTAACTCCTGATTTGTTTTGCTTCAGCTGTGTTTTGAAACAAATTTCATATATTACGGTATTTCTCTTTACAAGAGCTCTTCAGATCTTGAATTCCTTTTTTTTTAAGTTAAGGTATTTTTATTGTTTTCACCTAGAATCTTCCTATTAGACTGAAAAAAATCACTGTATTTTAATATTCAGTAAGACTTTTGAGACATGGCTGTTTGTGCTTAAGTTACTCATCAAATCCAGGATTTTTTTTTTTCTCATTTTATTTTGTTTAAAGGATAATCACATGTTGAGATTCTTTTGTGTGTAGTGGAAGAATTAGAATGAGAAAATAGAACAGAGTTGCCCTTTTGCTTTATATTTTATTTTATAATTTTAGAATATAAATTATTGTCTTTTAATAAGCCCATTGCATGAGATGATGTTAATAACACTAATGATCTGTTACTATTATCACAAATAGCCATTGTCTGTTTTTCATTCCAGAAGGGCAGGAGCTATATTTGGTGATGCTAACAGTTGCTTCCCAAGCAGTTAGGTCCAGGATTAAGTTCAGATAGCACCTGCCTAGTTCATCATTAGACATCCTTTTTCTCCTGCTTTTCTTTTCCTCACTATAATTCAATTACATATAAGATTTATTCATTTATACATTCATTTAACAAACATTTATTCAATACTTGCTAAATTATAGGCACTTAATTTAGGTGCCAGGCATGAAAGAATGGACAAGACACAGTTGCTGCCCTCAAGAATTTCATGACATAATAAGAGTGACAACCTTCTAAAGATTGATAAAATAAAACATGGGATGAATGATGTTAAACCTTTCCTATTCTTCCCAGTGAAAGCCTCAGAAAAGTCTACATCAGTCTTGAACCAGGAAGCCAGGTACTATTGGGCATGGGACTGTGGGTCTATCAATTAAAAGCAGGGAAGTAATGCAATACAAAGCCATCTGGGACTCTAGCTCATTAATATGAAGCAGGAGCTTCCTGCCTAGGGAACAGAAACAAAGGTGAGCTAGAGAACTGGGAACAGGAATCTGGGAATTAATAGAAATTGTAGGAAAAACTTTCCAGGACCTTCAACATGGCTTCTGGAGTGAATAAGAACGTGATATTAATGGAATTAAGTTTCATTGACTTTGCTTTTGGGAAGATGAGAAAGAGAGAAGGACAGCTAGATCTTGGGATCAAAAAAAAATAAAAACTTGGACATAGACTTATTTGTGAATTAGTCATTTCTCAATTGTTTACTTAGGAAATGGTAATATGAAGAAGAAATTGGTTAAGTAGTTAAGATTCTCTCAGTGGAGAGTTTAGACCTAGGTGTATTTAAATTGTATCCCACACTGCCTAACAGTTATTGGTCTGACCTTTCATAGATAGCATTGATAACTCGAATCACCCAATTCAGCCATGAATTACGTAATATATCTTGTGTGTCTCTCAAATTATTTTCTAGTTCCTGCACCTCCTGTATAGTTTTTTGATAGTAGTTGTTCATCAGATAGCTTGTTGAATTTCTTTAGCCCTCTATCATCTCTGAATGCAGGTGCTTGGATAATAATCAATTTTAGCAGAAAAATCCTTTTAACAGTTATTTTCATCCCTAGTGTTAGAAGGAGATACCAGGAGAAAAGAAGATTTTACAATATTTCTTTCCACAGAAAATACACTTAAAGAGAATCGTATGTACAAGTCCTGTGGTTAATAAAATCAGAGCTTTCTCAGTGATCATATAAACAGTACAAGTTCCCTAAATCAGGACTTCCTTCTGTGAATACAAGGTTAGCTCAGGGGAGAATGGACCAGAAGTGAAACCAGATTGCTTGTCGGCTGCCAGAAATCCTGGGCAGAGTGCCAGACTTGGTTCACCTTCTAAAAATTCATCTCTCGGTATGAAAATAGAGGGCTCAATCCCTGCAAGGAATGGTGGTAGCATATACACTTGGACTTCCCTTGACCCAAAGTGCTTTATTGATGTGAGGAAAGGTGGGAGAACTGATTACTGTGGACTGGTAGCTTTGACCTCATTCAAGAGCTATAATATTTTCTTTAACAGCTTTACTTCATTATGTTTCAAATTATAATTTCATAAGTTAATAATTGTTCTTCCAAATAATGTGGGTCTTATATACACATGAATATGTTCTGCCTGATAGGAAGCTGTGGGTTTAATTTCTAATAGTCATAGAAATTCTGTGCACATTATGAAGCTATTAGGATGTAACAGCTGTTTTAGTTCATTTCACCCTGCAAAAGAAATATGATTCGGACTAAAATGATCAGTAATTATGTATTTTGAAAGCTAAACCTCCAGTTATAGAAAGATCTAATTTACACATTAGATACTGATAAAACTACAGTATGCTATGAGTTTCAAAGTTAGCGTTATCTCCTGCTTAAGACTATGAAAGGGAATCTGTGCCAAAAGACATTTTTTCTTCTTTGAAATTCTCTTTTGCATTGCCTATTGTAATTTTGAAGTTGCAAATCAACAGTAATGAAGAACTGCTTGATATTTTTCTAAAGAAAAAAATTAGAAGGAGTGTTAGAGGAAGTAGGATTTAGAAGGATTTTATTTTATTTCTGTTGATCAGTGTCTACCATCTGCCTTCCGTTTAATGTTGTAAAAGCATGCATGCGTTTCCCAGTTTGAACAGATGATGTACATGGTTTGTTGAGATATATGTGTATTCTGGATGTGTGTGTGTGTGTATATACCTACAGTGCTTAAAATCACACTTGAAGTGTAAAACAGATAATGAGTCTCCATTTTTGGCTAATTTGCATATTCAGCTCTGTTACACAAAAGACTACAATAACACTGATTTTCTTTTCTAGTTTAGAATCGGCACTAACCATCTGTCAACAAATATTTTGATTAAACACTTTTCTTTATTGGAGAACTTTGGGCACATTCTTTGTATAAACATATTGTTTTCTTTGATTTCAAGGGACATATTTTCAGTATGATTCATGGATGCATCACACCGGTAAGCTGTCATGCACAAAAATATATTTTTCTCTGTAAACTTCCTTTTTACCATTGATTTCTCTAGGGCAAAAATATGGCTCAGAACAGAATATTCCAACTCAAGATATTTGCCTGAATAAAGGTGGTAAATAAGTTTAGAAGCCTCTTTTAAGCCGAAAAATTTAAAGTATAGATTCTTAAATTGGACTTTTCCAAGAAATTTTTAAAGAAGAGTTAACAGTTCCTCTAATACACTTAAAATGTAATTTGGGTGCAGAAATTTTGTTAATATTTTGACATATTCATATAATTTTTTCTTCTGTGTATAACCAACATAAACATGTTATTTACACAAATAATATATAGCACACACTATATTGAAACCTTGCACTTATATTTTATATTCTGTGGCTTTTGTTCCATGTCAGTACATATATATCTGCTTTATCCTTTTGAACAATAGCACAGTATTCTAATGTACTGTTGTTTACCTAACTGGTTTCCTATTGAGGGACTTTTAGGATGTTTCCAGTTTTGCTGTTAAAAAACAGTGTAGTCTTTGTACACTTTTCTGATTATTTTTTCACATAAGCACAGTCAAAGGATATGATCATCTTATGTGAAACATTGATAAATGCCATGCAAATGCGTTGTGCTGGTTTATGTCCACCAGCAGTATATGATAATACCTATTTCTCCACATCCTTATCAACAATGAGAATTATCATTTTTAATCTTTTGTCAAACTGACAAATAAGCCATGATCGCTCATTTGTTTTATTGTGCAAATTTTTTATTATTTGTAAAGGTTACTATGTATCTGCTCATTTATAAGCATCCATATTTTTATATAAAAGGTAAAATGTGAGTTGGCTTTGGATGGATTGAATATTGACTGGATAATTTTAGAAGGCTTTTCCCATGAGGTCATCTAGGAAAGTGGTTCTCAATTGGAGTTGATTTTGGCCTCCCTCTCCCCTAGACAGTGCCTGGA